CTCGGTCCCCGCGGCGAGAGGGGCCGCTGTCGGACCCCGGCACCCGGCCGGGCCCGGCTCTCCCAAAGCAGCGGCGGCTTGTTTTCCTCGTCGTCACGATCTGTGGAAGTTTAAAGCACTGGAGAGTAAAAGTAGTTCCGAACCGTAAGCAGTAGTAAGCAACGTGCTGCACGCCGTGAGCAGGAGGAAAATCTGCCCATTTCCAGCTGGGGTTGGTGGAAGGCGCAGCTGGTGTTTTTTTTGGCTCTGCACAGCAGGCCCTGGGGCACGCAGGTCTGCGAGGGTGGCCATTGTCTCGTCTGGTCGCGTTCGTGGGTGGAAGAAGGACATGCGAGCACAATGGAAGATTGTATAAACACAGTTGTAATGTTCATGTATGTATGGAATGAACTGTAACCCACGTTGCTGTCCAGGTTACGGAAGCGAAGAATGCTTAGAACTGCAGGTGGCTGAGTGTTTGAATCATTCCTGGCCAGTTGAGAATTTTCTTCACAGGAAATGTCACTCGAACTGAGAGGTTTCATTTTCCTTCGTGTCATCTTGGTCGCAACGGTTGCTGCTACTTGGACACGCAGGGTCTTGTTCTCATGTGGTGTGCTAAGTGTCAACAGAGAGCAGAAGAATCAAAGTCCAGGCTTTGGTGCAGGTCTCCAGGGTACTTGGATCCTTTTCTGTATCCTCTGTACCCCCTCTCCTCAGATGGAGGAGATGATTCTTTGTTTATGGAAGACACAAGTAAATAGAAGGTCTGTTTGGTAAACTTTGTGGCATGAAATTCTACAGAGTAGCGAATACAAACATGGCTATAAATAAAAGCTATAGTAGAAGGTAGCTGACAGTTGTTACAGTTGTTGAATTAGAATCATTATGGTGACATGGCAAGATGCAAGACACAAAGCACAGAACAATTGCGTGAATTGTTTTTCCCCGTGATTTTTCACTTTGCTGCTGCAAACCACAGTGAAAGCATAAGTAGAGTTAGTAAAAATACTTAAAACCAGATGTTTCTTTTCTTCTGGCAGTTATCAGAGGCATTCCTTTTGGAGTGTTTTTTCTCTTCTCTGCCCTCTCTCCCCCCACCCCTGACCACTTTACTAGAGAGCTCTATTCTTTTTCATAGTGGTGTAAGTACAAAATTCTCACTTTTTTAACAGAAGGAGGCTTGGGCTATATACATTACAGAAAATTACTCCAGTGGTCCTTTAAAGCAGAGATCTGAAGTCATACGCTTTTCAATGAAATGTTAAACCTACCTCTTGCAAAATCTGCTTTAAAACAACAGAAACTACTGCTACAGCCTGATTCACAGTGCTGTTCAGTAAACAAAACATACTGTATTCAAGTTAGGACTGGAAAGTCTCGGGGAGTTGCATTGCACGGGGAGCAGGGAGGAAGGAGAGAGAAGATGGATTCATGTGCCATGTCTGGACCTTCTCACGAAGGTTTGATGGTCAAAAGTATAGGGTTACCCCCATTTTGTTTGTATTAAGGCTGTGAGAACAGGTTAGAGTGAAACGGCATGCAGTAGCTGATGTGAGGTGAAGTTACATTAGCTGCCCCAGAAGTCTGCTCCTGCTTGTAGTTCAGACTTGAGAGACACAAAAAGATGGCAAGACTCTCTTTTGTTGTATCTTGAAAAATTTTCACAAAAGTCCAGGTATCCAGCTTTAAGCCAAAATCTGGTTTTATTCATACTGGTCACATAAATTACAGATGTTACTGAATGACACACACAATTTCTTGTTGTTCTGGAAAATCATTTATACGTGATGCTTTCTGAGAGAAGACTTCTTCTGATCTGCAGCTTGCTTTGAATCACTAGGATTAATGAACAAAGACGTGTTCATTTAAAATCTATTCCCGTGTGCCAAAGAAATATCTCATCGTGCTGTTTCCATTCCCTTCCTTTCAACTACAGTCAGCAGTATGGGCAAGAGGGGCGAGTAAAAAAGGAGAAATTAAAGTAAAATCCAGGTCTTACTGATTCAAGGAGGCTTTGTTTGCATCCCAGACGTCTGATTTCTACCTGCTCAAGAGGAGTGCAAGGTGCAAATGCTCAAATGCTTATATGTATTGTAAGAACTTTGCATGTGTTAAACATTTATTCTGCACACAAGAATTAACTCTTGACTGAGCCTGCCAAATGAAATGCAGTGGCCTTGGGACTGCCAGTTTATTATTATATTAACAGAGGCTTTAGGGATAATATTGGGACACACACCCCCCTAAAACCAAACGAACCAAACCCAGCACTAAACAGTGCCTGGAAAAAAAAAATTACTAGACAGTGCCTGGAAAAAAAAAAATTAAAGTCAGTTTACCATTCATATGAAAAAAATGCTCATTCTGCTTACTAAATGAGTCTCTGACAGGCATGTAGTATTCCATCACGTAGTACAAACTGCCCAGCGGTTAGCAAATGCTGCAGCTCTTCAGTAAATGTTTAAAAACTACGCATCCTACTTTACATTTACCAGATAGAATCTGACTCTGTCAGACAGGAGTTTTTGCTTTGTAGCCTTTGTGATTGTACACACCCAGACGTATCTGGGTGCTTCACACGTAAATAAATCTACTTCTGCAACTATCTGGTGAGAGGGGGAAGTTTTCCTGGCCCTCTCTTCCGATGGCAAAATGGAGATAGCTTTTTTGACACCGCAAGCTTTGTGTCCGTTCCCTTTCTGGAATGCCCTTCTCTTCCCAGGCTCGCCTTTCCTTCCGCAACTTCTGCTGCAGTGGCAGATAAAACTCTATGGTGAAGGTCATCTTTGGAAAAAAAGCAAACCCAGGACACCTATGGGACACTTGAACTCAGGGAAATGAGAATCTTCACTTTAAAACAGAAACTAAACCAGTGGTATACCAGAAGATGATTAAACAGAAACTATTTAACACAATAAATCCTGTTTTCCCCAGACACACTCTTGTATTTAGTTACCTTTCTATGCTGTTTACAGAAGCAAAATGTTTTTTCCTATACACCTGTATTTACAGCACACCTATGGACAATAATCCCGCAAGTAAAATTTATCCCTGTTGGACCCCCCTGAAGTCAAATGACCTCCAAGACACAAAGGATTTGGCCTTTTATCACTGAGGGCAGCAATTCTGACTTGCAGGAGCTGATCTGTAGTCCCTAGGGAGACTTACATGGTATTGATAACAGAAGGAGGCCCAAGAATAACATCATAATGGTTTCCAGGAAATGCTGATTTACAAAGATGATGAAAAAAATATTTACTGTGTCTTTAACCCACCCAGTGTTCACAGGATTACTGTTTTTTCCAGTCTGTGGGCTTCAGTCAGTTGAGTATGGAGAACTCAGCTAGAAGAAGAGAAAGAAATGGTTAGTGTCATGGCAGTTACTGCTGTTCATCAAAAATAACTAACTGCAGATGGAACTTGTCTGGCTCGAGGGTCATAACTGCAGGGTCATTTTGCCTATCTAATGCAAACGGGCAAGGATCGGAGGATCCTGTTTCTAGTTCTTGACAAAATATAGGCACACTCCTTAGAAAACATGGTGTGGGAAGAAAGTGCAACAAAAATATAAAATTTTATATGAACTCTTGTTCATATAGGCTATGGATATGTATAGCAGGTCTTTGTTTTCCCAGTGGGTAGGCGAATCTGGAGAGGGGGGGAATAGAAGGGAATTTGGCTGCAGGAAGTGCGTCTTGCTAAAACTGAGTTGTGGGGTGTTTTTTCCTGCTGCAGACTGCACTCTCGTTCTCTGCATCGCACACGGTGCTTTCTATTGACATCTCGTGGAGGAAGAGTGTAGCTTTAATAATGCAGATTGTCTGCTTACTGTACTTGGGCAGCCCTTCCCCAAGGTATATTATGTTGTGAGAATTTGGGATGATAAAGAAAAAACCCTCTGTGTTTTCCTCATTCCCATTTAGCAAGGTAAATAAACTGGAAAAAGGAAGGAATTATTAAAAAAACTTCCCCAACTGTTTTCTCCCCTAATTTCTAGCAGAACTTGAAAACTCTTCTAGCCTCCAGAAATCCACCTACCATTTAGCAGCACTGAACCACTTCTCTAGCACCCTTAAAAACTGCAGCACGACTGTATTTGCCTCTCCCAAGTCATCACCAAACTTATTCTTTTTGTGTGGTTACAACCCCAAAAGATAGCGATGGTCACAGCTGACTTAGAAGCTCTGGACAGAGCTGGTCTGAGAATTACTGTGCGTGCTAGAAGTAACCAAAAACATTTGGAGCCTGATGATAAAAAAACCGAAGCCAACTATTCTTTCCTCTGCCAAAACTGAAAATGGTTTGTGAAAACTTCACAAATGCAGTGTAGAGGATCAGAACTGTTTTCACATGTATAAACCAAACAACAAATGGGCTGGGGACATGTTTCAGATGAGGTGTGGTAGGTTTTAATGCACAGTTTTTACTCCAGCTAGCATTTCAGTTTTAGCTGAAGAACTAGTTTGTCATGGGCGCTATCAGGGAAAAAGGCAAAGAAGCAGAAAAAGGTATTTTGCTCTTGAACAGAGCTTCGGCTTGGTGCATATGAAGGATATCCTTTATTTATATATAAAGTTTAACTGTGCTTCCAGTTGTGGGCAGTCCGGGTTCTGATTTAGTTTTTTTCTGTTGGTGGGGGAGGAGGAGTGTGTACAGAGGGGCATTTGAAGGGGAGTTGACAGGCTGTTAAATACATAACCGTTTTAAGTTCATAAATCACTGAACATGCAGAAAACTAAGAGCTAGTATCAAAAAAGGAGGTTTTCTTTTAAAGTGGTTTAAGCCAAACCGCTGCTGTTTCCTGATAGAAGCCTGCTGGACAAATCCCCAGTGGGTGAATATCAGGGCTGTAAGCACTCTGAGCCATGACGATCCAGAACACAATTTCTAGTCATTAAGTAAAAGAGGAAAATATTTTTAACAGGACACTGGTACAGTGGTTTCCCAATCTTTCTATATACTTAGTGAATATTAGTTTCATTTGCTAAAAATGTTTAGTTGTCTCCCAATTTCTCAGTTTGGTACCCCATGTAGAAAGCTGCAGCACTGAAAAGTTGTGCGTTTGCTGAATCGGTTATTTTTATGTCCCTTGTGCAGCTTCATTTCAGAATGTAATACAGCAAGTGCTAAATGAGCTCTAACTTTTTCATAGTTGTACAAGCAGCCTTTTTTATAACCAGCATCCGTTGTACACATCCTGTTTGCTTAGTATTAACTTATCAATGGAAGAGTTGGCAACGTACGGCAGTCTCGATCACTGTGGGACTCAGGTGTTCTCTCAGCACAGCATAAACGCTTGGAGACATTGGAAGAAGATCTGATGGAGAAGGTGGATCTGTAGAATCATTTAAGCTTAAAAACAAAAACCACAAAAATGATCTTAAAAGCAACCTAAATCCTTCTAACTTGATGCACAGCAGTGGAGTATGGTGAGTGCTTGTTTAGTTAGGCCTGCCTTGGGCTTGCTGGTGGCCCTGTAAGCACATGCCAACGGCCTGGTATATGTTTAAAAATGTAGGAGACAGGACCAAGGGTAAAGAGACTAAATCTCAATCTGTAACATCAGCTGCTGGAGACAAAAAGGAGACAGCGAAGGAAAAGTAGATCAGAGTACTGTAAAGTCTGCATCCAGTTTTTACAAATGCTTTGCCACATGGATGGGAAAAGCCCTGTAGAAGTGAAGTTCGTGGACAAATGAAAAAGTGTTGTGCTGCTATCTCAAACTATTTGAATAGCAGAAGGGAGGCAGGGAAAACCTTGAAACACTATGTAAATTTAATAAAAATTACATTTGAAGTGTAATAAATCTGTAAGGATACTTACATTTTGGACACTGGGATAAATACGGAAGGAACGTAACCTTTGCCGCCTCCATCTGAGGGCTTGGAGACTAAAAATCAATATTGCAGAAGTTAATTATTGCCTAGTAATTTTATTATTTATTTGAAATGGATTATCTGCTTTAAGTGTTGCAGGCCATAATATATTTTAAAAAAGGAATGTCCCTGCTTATGCTTAAATAAGCAGCTGTAAAAATGAGGGGAATTCCTGAGATCAGTCTTTGGGTTCAGGTCTTAGTCACATAATTGACTGTGCTCCCGTAGTATGAATTGCCATCCCGGAATATAATACAGCAACTGATGACAGAGATCTTGTTAGGGCTTCAGAAGCAAATACACTGTGACTCTACAAGCTTGGTATTCCTAGGTCTCTAGATTTCAGTTCTGTAAGTGCTTGTGTGGAGCTCTGTCTTTACAGATGCTGCTTCAGTGATGTCTTTTGCATGAAATTAAACATATACAGGAACTTGTAGAGGATTGGAGCGTTACACAAAGTCCTCTGAATTAAAATAAAGAGGAACAAAATATTTGTGGCCCACAGATATTTTTGAGTAGTGTAGGAATTTGAATTCAAATGGAATTGTAACCTCTCATACTGAAAGTCCAGAAAAAAGTGTACTATCTGTTAAAAAAATCCAGGCTTTGAGGGCTTTTTTGAGGGAAAGTTTCATCTACAAGTGGCCTGAGTTGTAACTTGGACAAGAAAGGGCATGGGCCTGAACATCTGGAGCCATTCTTGTCTAGACTTTTTGTATTTTTCCAGTGTGGTTGCCAAGGGTTATACTGCTGCAATAAAAGCAGGTCTTCCTAAGATCTTTGGAAAATACAGAATTCCTTGAAGTTAAAGAGGCAGCATGCGACAGTGTTATACAATTATGAAGCCAATAAGCAGGATAAATTTTCAACTTCAGCTCGTTTGAACACCCCAGCACTGAATTTTGCAATGCATCGGTCAGGGAAAAATTCCTGGGGTTTGACTCTCTCTACCCTAAGATCTGTTTTTAGCTTCTCTTAAACCTCGTTGTCATCGCCTCTAACGTGACCTCTAAGGCCATGGATATAATGGCAAAATGAAGTGGTCTAAATGATAGACACACGTTAAAACAGCTCTCTTAATGATGCCGATTAAAGGAGGCATCTTAATCTGCTCCCTTCCTCCTCCCACCATGTTCCTCAAATTGCCTCTTGACTTTGCAGCTGCTCTATAGAAAGGATAAACACAGAAATGGAGCCCAACCTTCATTTGGCTGACAGCTGTAGTGTTTGCCAAAGGCCTTATCTTTGGGAATGTCTGGATACAGATACTTCAGAGGGTTTTCAGGAACGTTGTCTGCCATAATAACTTTGTAATCGCGCAGTATGTCGGCGAAAGGCAGTGCAGATAAGCGACCTTTGTTATAGGGTTCCACCGAATGAAATGTTACGTCTCCTGTAAGAATACAAAGGCACCGTGACCGCGGGTGAGTGGTAGGTTGGCATCTGCAGTTGGAACGTATTTTTGCCTTTCTCCTGCAGTTTACACTGGCGTGGGTTTTACCTGCTTGTACCAATGTTAGCAGCTTTCAAGTTACACTTTCTGACAGGTGGAAAGAAATTTAGAGCCTGCAGTAAGCAGACCGACCTCCTAATGAGCTTATATAGTTAACATAAAGAACCGAGAGGGAGACTTTCAGAGTTTTGGTTTGTATTTCAGTAAATACGATACTTGTATCTTGCCCAAAACCATGCCAAGACACAATACATGTCAATTTTACTTTCAAACCAAAGAAACCGTGGCTCCTGTATTACAGGTGTGTTGCTGAGTTGGAGGTTTGTTATTTTTTTTAAATTATACTTACCGTTTTCTAACTGATCCACCCAAGTAAAGGTAATTCCACCCAGATTGCTTTCACTAAACCTTAATAAAAATGTTCCCGGTGTCTTGTCTTTGAGCAAAATTCGTTCCTTCTCTTTGCTTACAAATCCCATTACGTACCTGAAGTATAACAGGAAATCAGGGGTTAGCTTTTGGGAAAAAAATACAGGCTTCCATCTGCGTAATGCATCTGGCCAATCTCTACACAGGTGTTCAACGCCTGGCTACAAAAGCCACGTAAGGTCTTGAAACTGTGACCAAAGCTTCATGGGATTTACATCTTGAGAATGGCATTGAGCTCAAAGTACTATGAAGCATGTTGTACGCTGACAGATAAACAGCTCTAAACCTGCATACCTGAGAGATTCAACAGTGTTCCCTTTTGTCAGGAATTTCCAAAAGTTATAAATGGGAAAAGGGAGAAAGAAGTATTAAACTCTCTGCAAGTTCTCTTCCGCATAGCTAAAACTGAAAGGAGCAAAGAAAACAGGCAAAGCCAAGAGAGGTCAGTATACAGCAGTTTACTGGTTGCTCACCCATCAATCCAAAGAGGAAGAATGTGTTTTTTAATTAAGTCCAGGATGGCTTCAAGCCAAACCCAAAAGGTAAAAGACTTTCCAGGCAAGTGTTCCTAATGGTTAAAAAAAGAAAACAAACAAAAACAGGAGACACAAGAGGAGAATTGTGAGTGGCGGGACCCAGCATGGCTATCTCGGTGTCTTATGAACAATGTGGTTTGTTCAAGCGAGACTGGCAGATCTGAAGTGCTGTTCTGAGTGACGTCTCTCTTCCTGCCTGACATAAAACCAACTGATTTTTAAGATATGTATTGGAAATGCCTCATTTTTCAAGGGAAAAAAAAAGATTACATTTGTTGTTTCTTCCTGGTTATGAAATTACATTTTGAGAGAAATGATGACAAGAAAGCTTAACGTCCCGCCAAGGTCCTATACTTGTTTAAATGATGTAGTTAATAGGAATAAAACATGTTTACCCTTTTCCTCAGTAACCTGTCCCTCATCAAAGTTCCTGAATACATCGACCAACTTGAAATAATTTAGGTCATAACTGAGCATGTGAAAAAAATTACTGTATGCTTTGATCGCATAATCTGTTGATCATTTACAGAATGGGCACACTATAATGACACTTCCTGAGAGCAGTTACTTGTTTACAACGAATGTGATTGCGCCGGGCTACAAGTACCACATGGGGCAAGCGGGAATCTTAGCAGTAGCATCAGAGAGACAGTTACGTATGCATGTGGGCGCTAGGCGAAACCAGAGTCTAATTTTACTTTCCGAACCATACCTTGCAGAACTTTGCCCAGGATAGCTGATAATCGTTGTAACTGACTTGTTGTCCTGAAAGGAAAAACAAAACGCAAAACTAACCAACAAACCAAAAGGATGAGTCTATTTTTCTGAATTTTTGAAATCAATATAGCTTGGTATCTGTATAGTTGTGGAGGGAGAAGTACAGTACATCCAGACTTGGAGAGGGGCATGCTAAGGGCCTGTAGATCAATTTTTCTGTATCCTTTTGAAGCAGCTGATAATGGTAGTTTTGGGAATATTTGCCTACAGTAGTCTGGGACTTTGTTTCTTCATCACTGCGTGCTCAGTTTCAGTATTTAGCCCAAGTGTTACTTCTCTTGGCCTCTACTCTATCTGGAGGTTTCATGTTTTAAGAATTTATTTTTCCTTTCTTATGACTCTTGTTGATTTACAATGGCACCTCTCAACTTCACTACCTCCACTAAGCAAGAACTCTCCAAGAAACCATCAGGAAAAGTGACTGTTACCCAGGGAAGCCAGTCTTTGCTTCCCAGCTTTGAAAGCAATACAGGCAGAGATTCCCCCAAGCCTTTGACAAATGCTGCTGTTCTTGCCCGACGGCAGAGGTATTGTTACACCCTCTGCTTGCAGTTTCTTACAGCTCACCATATATTTGATAATTGTTTCTCTTTGCCACGCTGTCACCAGTGAAGGCTGGGTCCCAGAACTAAGCAGACACCAAAGACAGTACTTAAAATGAAACAAAGCCCAAACCAAACCCCATAAGCAAGCAAAAAGACTTCCTTTTGATTTCAGATGCGTGAGATAATTACTTGCTAAGGAAACAAAATAACATCACTTTTCAGTGTGACTCTGATGCCCTCTTTCTTCAGTTTAGCAGCCTGGAAGTTCAGAAGTTGAATCGCTTTGTGGTAAGAATAAGCTGACGCGTGCTTTTCTTTAAAGACAGAAATGTCATTGTGGCATTTTTGAAGTCTGCTTTGGAAGTGGAGGTCACGCCTAAAGTCATTACCTGTAACTATGGAATATAAGAGCCCAAAAGCAAATAAAATCTCTCTATTTCTACACACTTACCCATAAGTTTCTCTGCCAGCATGTTGAGCTGCTCAGAATTGAGTCCACGACCGACATAGGATGAAAATTGCCAGCTCAGTACTTCTAAGAGCTGACTTAAAGTGGCAGCAGGGGGATTGTTGAAGAAAGACAAATTCTGCAACAGAATTAATGCTTTGTTTAGACAGCAGCTGTGAAATACACTGCAGGCTGTAAAAGCAGGGTGCAAGTGCTTGAGCAGAATCTGGAAGTGTTAAAAATGGGGGTGGGGGTACACTGGGTCCCCCCCACCTTGCAGCCACCCAGCAAGGTCCACTTGGGTGCCCGAGCAGAGCTGTAGGGGGAGAGTCCATGTGTCCATCTTGGATGATAAAATACCTTGCTGTGCTTCTGATCTCGTACGTTAAGCCAGTGAAAACAGGCTTATGTCCTGTCCAATAACTGCAGATATTCTCACTATACTTTCATATGTTTGGTGCATGGAAACCTGAAACCATTACATACTTCCATGGCGATATGTTGTTGAATCATTTGGCTCATCTTAGTTTTTCATTTGGTTTCTGGACTGGACATGTAATGACATGCTGAAGACTGCAAAAACTCTTTGGAGTACCACAGCACGATGACAAAGTCCAGGCTGCTGGTCAGCTGGCCTGCCATTGTTCTTAGGTGCCCTCCACAGTAAAGTGTCTTGCCCTTTCTCTCCTCCAAACATCTATGTGACTGCCACTAATCCCTGACTGAAAGCCTGAGAGCTGCTGACAGCACTATTCTGCAATCTGCAAACACTGTAACAGTGACTGAACCTAAAATACGTGCTGAGCCAGCTGAAGCCTGAGAAAGAATGATTCTGCTCATAGTTAGAGCCCCTGGATAACAGTGACTGAACCTAAAATACGGTTCATAGTTAGAACCCCTGGAAGGTGCTACTTGGCACTTGTAATCTCCTCCACAGAAAGCACTAGCTCCTATAAAATGCATGAGGGACAGCAGCATTTAAGTACATAACAGACTCACCTATACACCTACTCTGACAGTTCTGAATTGTACTAGTAGAATTATTTTGTAGCATGTACAGTTTTGGTCAGCTGCATCCAAAGAAGACAAATTCAAACTAGAAAAGTTGGGGAGAAGGGCTATCACCTTTCCTTAGTTTAAGAACTACTACTTTAGCCTACGGAACGGAAGGCTGAGTGTGCATATGGTTTTATATCTGGGCAGGGAGCAAAAGATAAAGTGAACAACAGTAAAGTGTGATGTTGGTAACAGCGTATGTGAAGAAAATAAGGGCAGTTTAAGAGGAAAACACAGCCTTTTTATAATGAATATATATGGTAATCAAATAATAGAAACCTGAAAATGCAGCAAGTCCGTACCTGCATACCGAAGACCTACCTGAGGATCGTTGGTTGACAGATTGTACCAGATAATAGAAGCCCACGCGTTGGGTAGTTGGCTGACATTGGAAATCATCACCACGGGCAAAGAGCTGGTCTGGTGGAAAGAATGAATGCAGTATGTAAATGCTGTTGAGGGAGGTGTTATGTTATAACATAACACTGTTATGCTTTGGTTTTTTAGCCCCTTCTTCCTTCCCAAAGTGTACGCTTCTGTCCAGAAGCTCTGGATATCTTGCTTCTGCTTACGGTTACTGCTGTAGATAGCATCTAGGATAGACAGACTTATGGTCTGGCCCTACACAGTGGTGGTTCTATAAGCTGCTGGAAAATGCCTGTTTTCTTGCCCCGGAAAATCTGTCTAGAATACTCACTTCCAAATTTATAGTCAGTCCATACAGGCAGACCTGTGTTTCAAAGCTGATGGAGTGCAGTTCCTCTGTCACCATGTGAGGGCCCTGAGGGAGTAAGTAGGTTATTTAACACTGTTTTAGTGATCTGCCTGCTGAGGTTACACAGCTTGGAAAGAAAACACATATCAAATATAAAAGTAGAACAAGAAGGAAGTGAAGTAAAGAATTTGTTTGTTAAACTTTGACATTAAATTAGTCCAGAAGTCTGGTGTTCTTCCCTAACAAACCTATAAAAAACCCTGTGACATTGCTAAAGCAATACTTTTAAGCTTTTAATTTTTGCTTTTAACTTTTTCTAAAATGATGCTTTTAAACACAGATTTGCACACAAAGCTAACAGACTATTTTTCTGTATCTGATAAAGATTGTTGCCAATTTTTCCTAAAGTTTCTTCACTGATTGACAATTCCAATTTAAACAGAAATGATAAAGGAGAAACAAACTAGACACAAACCGAAAAGCCTCAGCTTTGATGACAAGTAAGACCCTCATCCAGGAACAGGGCTTTCTTTTAAGTATACTTAGATGGTACTAGTTGAAGGAGTAGAGGCCTAAATCATTAATCCAAAGTAAATCTGGTATTAAAAACTTCAGCTTTTCTTGGATGGGAAAAAAAAATTCTGTTTGTCATAGTTGATTGAAGTTTGTAGTACGAGAGTTTTGTTTTGACCAAAACATTTTTTACAAACCAGCATAAAGATCCAAATCTCTGCCCCTTGGGAAACGGGTCTTTTGAAATAGGCTTCCAGTGCCAGAAGTCAAAGTATGGAAATCTATTTGTCCTTTTCCTGTCTGTTGCTGCTTTTCCCCTCTCCATCACATACTTGTTTTTGTCAGACTTTTTAAAAAAGAAACAAAATGTGAAATCAAAATGCTTACATTTACTGAAATACTCCACTTTCAGTCAATGTAAATAAAACCACTCCTTGGGAAAGTGCCTTCCGGCCTTATCTTTCCCATGGAGCACCTCCTCCAGGACATGTACGGGTCACTGTAACAAGACACGCTGTAAATGAGGGATTGAGATAACAGCAGATCCTTGGGCACCGGAATAATAAATCTGCCTTGCAAAGGGAAAATCCAGCTTGGAGCTGAAGGCTTTTCCATGAAATGCTCATTCATCAAATGAGCTCAGATGTTTTAATGCAGGTAGAATCTAACCAGCTCAACCTGTATTGCTGATGCAAAGTTGAAAAGGATTGGTGAAACTCCCCTTCTCCCTCCCTCCGTTAATGATTTATACAAAAAATTTTTCTCATGGAAAAATCATCTAGGCAAAAAGGTGTATGTCATCTAGGCAAAAAGGACTTGCCTTTTTACTAGGCAAGTCTTTCTTAACAACTACACCCTCGGCTTACTAAACATCCTATAACAAACTGAGTTTTTAAATTATTATCATTGCTGTTAATCAAAAACTCCAACTTGCTCATACTAACAGTGACTTCACAGACTGTGATTTGACCAAGGAGAAGCTCTGTTTGAGGAAATCAGTTAGCAGTGAGCCATGTCACAGCTCTGCTGTCCTAGTTGTCCACAGCCCTATGTGTTTTATACAGTGACTGAGGTGCAATGAGTGAAAGTGGGAGTAAAATCCTACCAAAAGGAGAGCACCTACATTCTTGCATTTGCTTGTCTTGATGCAAATAACTTTAAGTAGTAAAGTAATTGGGGGGTGAGCCTAGAGTTTCAGTCTTGCTAATCAGGTTGCAGCTTATCCATTCAGACACAGGGTGTGAAGCGTGCTCAAGTAACTTCTGCTTTAGGTTTTTGGTTAAAATTCTCCATGGTGATCACGCTTTTGCTTTGTACTTAAAGACTGCTTGTAATAACTGTTGTGCTTGTATAACTACATCTATTTGGGCTGTGATATGAGCCATCAACCTGTAAAATTCTATGATTTTTATTCTTGTATCATTGGCTGCAAGCTTCTGTCTCGTGCTTCAGTCAGAGATTTGTCTGCATTTGGCTATTAAATGGCCAAATCTCGGATCTGCTAAGTACCTGCTGGTTTGTTGGGGCTGAGGTGTCATAGCACAGTGTCACCACAAGAGGGGAACATACGACCGGATTCGGATGAGTATCGGTAAACTACACACATGCAAAGATAATCATACCCTTACTTCAGCTGTAAGCTTGGCCAGCAGAATATATATTTAGAGAACTGTTCCCATAGGAAAAAGTTCTTTCAACGAATAACCAAAAAAGCTTTTTTTTCCAAAAAGTAAATGATCAAAAAAGCAGCCTTTGAGAGGAATGTATACGTTCAGATTATTACTTCCTACCTTCGACTGTAACTTTTTAAAACTACAAATTTAAGGCTTGTAATTATAAGGCATGTTCTGAAAAGTCTTATTATACTTCTACTATCATATGATAATTGGGTCCTATACTTACTCTGAGGCTAATATATATTTCAAAATCTAACAACCTTTGGTTGCTCTCTGATTTAAATAAAATCTAATCTGAAATACTGGTGAGAGTAATCAAAACTAAAATGTAAAATAAATCCACTAACCTCATTTCCTTTGCTTCCAGCACTCGATTTCATTTCTTTGGGTTGCTGTATAAAGCAAAACAATATTTACGTGCCAAAGAAACTACAGACAGAATTATGTATAAAGAAGATAATTTGTAACCATGGTGTTTCACGACGTTAGTATAATATGATTTCATTTACAGTATACAAATACGCCCAAATGAATGCTCTGACACTATGCCTTGAAAAGCCTATTCAGGGCTGTCGTGGTTTAACTCCGGGTAAAGCACAAATTCACTTGTGCTTGACTTAACCCAGCACAAGTGCATAGTCTTTTGATATGTTTTGAAGATTTTTTTTTAAGAAATTTAACGTAACAAAGTGTTAATTAGGGCGCTTGCGAAGCATATAATACGAAGAAGTGCTAAAGACCGTCAGTCTCCATCTCCTTTTGCAAAACCGTGCTGTTGCACTCTCTGCATCTGTGGTTAAGCCAAAAAACTACCATAGGTGAGGGAGTCTAGTGAGAAGGCGTGACTCGCTGGGGTATCAGCCAAGTTACAGAGCACTGCTGCTGCCTCTCCGAAGACAGTTACTGCAGGCACTAATTTCAAACAGACCTAAAGCATCCAATTATATATTTCCCCTGGACAAGGGTAAATAGGGTTGGTTGGCTGGCTTGTTTGGTTTTTTTAACAAAGTTCAGTTTCTGAGAAGCTGTGTAATTCAATGTGATAGGACAAGAGGAAATGGCCTCAAGTTGTGCCAGGGGAGATTTAGATTAGATATTAGGAAAAATTTTTTCACAGAAAGGGTCGTCCAGCAATTGAAAAGGGCTGCCCAGGGATGTGGTAGAGTCACCATCCCTGGGGGTGTTTCAAAGCCGTGTAGATGTGGTGCTTATGGTCATGGTTTAGTGGTGCATTTGGCAGTGCTAGGCTAACAGATGGACTTGATGATCTTAAGGGTCTTTTCTAACCTAAACAATTCTATGATTAGTCTTTTCCTACTCTGCCATTAATTAGGACTTGCTTTGTCATTTCTGTGAAAATATATAGTGTTATTTTGTGGAATGAATAAAGTATGGAATGGGACAAAGAGGTTCTAGGCGTAAACTTGCCGTATAAGGAAAAAGGAAATGAGTTGACAGTAATACAGTTCTTCTTGCATAGTTTTAAAAGAATCTTTTACTTTTTTACCGGAGGAATGTGACAGGAAAAAAGCAGTCAAACTTACCAAATGCCGAAATTCCACCGACAGGCTTCCATTTGCAGATTCATCCATGTTCATTGCTTTCACATGCGTTCCACACAGAACGAATCTACGATTACTGCGGAGGACATCACACTTACGTACTCAAATAATACTGTATTGGATAATTTATGAAATAAGGTATTTTATATTCTTACCTTACAGTTGAAACATTCCTAAAATAAAAGAGGGGGTGGGGGGAGGAAACAGAAGATGGATCAGTAAATATGTAAGCCGTAACTTGGACCGAGAAACGTATCTCAAGGTGATAGTTTGTCTTGTCAAAGTTAATTTGTAATACCAATACAACTGCAATTTTTAAAGAACTGAAATTTGTACTGTCCAGTTAGACTTTTGCATCTGGCCAGATGCAAGTAGTCTATTTCATCTAGCATTTTCCTGCCACTGGAACGATACGTGGGTATTCAAAGCTAAAGTACTACCTAATTGCTCACATACCCATGTTATGGGACAGTACAAGCCTGCCTAGAGAGCTGGTGGTGTGCAGGGAGAGCATGTGCACAGCAGCAAATAGGACAGTACACAGCTTGTGAGAGAAACAGTCCTGGCTTCTCTCCTGCTGCTTCCTCACCAGGGGTTTTCCTTCCTTCTTTTGGGCCAGCTCTATGTCCGTGTGGTCAAGGCATTTTTTAGGGGCCTGCAGAAGCACAACAGCCAGAAGAAGGGGAAGTAGCCAGTACCTGTGGCTGGGGATGGCGGGCAGTGAGGACTTGCATCACCTTTGCTAATTTTGAAATCGGACCTTGACAGCAGGTCGTGCAGAACACCGTGTTTTCTCATGCTAGGGTGCCCTGACCTATCTATAACCCAGCTTGCTCTACTGGGTATTGCTCAGAATAAAACACCTTGCTGAGAGAAGATGCATCAGCTCGAACAGAAATACTCGAGGCAACATTAACACTGTTTTCACAAACAGCGTAGACAGGCTCTGAGATGCTTTTTGCTCAGGAAATTATAATGAACCAAAGAAGCTGGGGATCCTGTTTATTTGGGACCGCTGTAAGAAATAATGGGAAGACAAAGGAGAACCAAAGACCTTGGAAAGGAGGAGTTTATATAGCAGTCTTAATTTCAGGCAGGGGTAAAACTCTGTAAGCTCCATAGACGCTAATTACAGCATGAGCTTTTCAAGCTCCATGTACTACTCGGGGCAGCTGCACTGAGGGTACTGGGGCTATTAACGCAAGCAGAGATAAGTGGTATTTCAAAACTAACTGTCCCGTGAACCCAATACAGTTTTGATTTAAAGTTTTTGTGTGATGCTGCTGTTTCAGACTGATGAATCTTATCTAAGTCCTGAAACAAAGCCTAAATGGACTTCTTGCCTCCAATTTGAAAATATCAATTAGACATAGCTGCTTTTTTTTGAAAGACAATGAAATCTTCCACATTAAAAACCAAAAAGCATTACCCTGATGTTAACATATGTTTTGTTTTGTTCCCTTTTCAGAGCAACTTGTAGATCAGATAGGGTAGTAATTGAAAAACCTGTGTTGTCTCTGTAGGGAGAGAGAGAATTTCTTCACATCAAAGTTTCTTACTTGTCAATAGTTGCTTTCACTCTGATCTGGTAGTTCAGCTCTGGCAATTTAATTAGCAACCTTCAAAACAGAAAATGTAAAAGTGAGTGTTAACAGAATAAATTTCTTGCCAGAAAATATTGGAGACCAGTAGCTCCACACCAAAGTATCTGAAATTATTACAGTCCAAAACCAGACTAGGCATCTAGGATTATATCATGATTTACAGGGTTGTATACTCAGAAAGAGGAGCTGGGCTGTTCCAGGTGTTCTACCCTCCCTGCAAGTATGGGGTAAAGTTAGTATGAGTTTGAGGGAACGGCTAGAGAGCCCACAAAGAAGAAAGAGTTAGAAGATGGATTTGTATAATCTGACTGCACCGTAGATGTATGCGTACGTTCCTGTATGCACCCTTTCAACACCTCATACCCTCCATGCATTCTTTTAGCTGTGAGGTGGAAATGAGGTAAGAGTTCCTCTCCAATCTTTGCTCTTTTCACAGTCAGGCAAGGAGCTAGTGGGAGGGAAATAACCTGTTGTTGATTCACCAGAGCCCCCCGAAATGTGGAAGTTTCTCTTTCCTAAGTGCAAAAGTGGCCCTGAGTATTCTGATGTTGGCTTCTATGATGTGGATCATTATTTACTCAGTTTGCAAAGTCACTGAAACAAGAATTTAGTGCATACAGAACCCTGAAGGTGGTGACTTTTGGCCACAATCTGCCTTTCTTCCTCACACTGATTTACTCTTCATTGCCACTTATTACGAGTGACAGATTCTGTTGCCTTTATATCCCCATTCCAGAAAAACAGACTGGAGTCTAAAGGATCTCTAATACAAGTTGGTCTGCTTTGCTTTCTAGATTATTCTAGGATAAAATACAGTAAGCAAATAGAGGAGTTTATATGAGATTTCCTTTCCTTACCTTAACTTAACAGTGAACTGTATTAATGTTTTGAGAACCATGGGCCTCTGGGGATGGGTTGGCATGCAGGGCTGCCTTTCAACCACGAAAGAACTGTGTGAAAAGAAGTGAAACAAATAGTTAGGAATACACGTAAAGAAACAGCTGTATTAGGGGGAAAAAAAAGTGCTGGTATCTCTTAGAGACTTATTTCACTACAGATGCTGAAGTGGGAGGCATGTATCCCAAATCCCAGTTCTCAAAATAGTCCAGTGATCTAACTTACATCTGAATTGTTCCCATAAGAAACAGATATTTGCAATACATTAAAAATCAAACCGAAACAAATTCCATAATCCTAAAATACCAGGCTGATAAAAGTCTGAAAGATGGAGGCTTTTGTCAGAACCAGAAAATAGAGAATGAAAATACACTGAACCTGGCTCCAGTGAAATTAAATAATCTTTCTATCCTTTTTCATTTTTTATATAGAAACACCATTGACCATGTTTTGCTTTCAGATAGTCATGTGTGGTGTATCTCTAGTAGAGTCAGTACAAAAGGCAAGAGGAATGATGATAGCAATTTGTCTATTAATAGAAGGGTGAACTGGGGGAATGTCTTGGTGAGGAAGAGGAAAGACAAATTAACACCTGCCAGTTTACTTAAAAAAAACAAACAACAACCAAAAACCAACCCAACTTTTCTCAGCAGTATGTACATAATTCCTACAAAAATAAGCGGAATTTGTGTGTTCATTTAGAGTCAAAACATGATCACAAACCCTTAACTGCTACACACAAGAAGCTGCCTGGCACCTTCAGCTTCTTGGAGTTTTCATGACAGCTGTCATATTTTTATATTGGAAACTCAGTCTTTACGATCCTCTAAAACTTTTTTTTTCCTTTTTTTCTTCTTAACAATATGCTCTTATTGTTGCCACTAAATCTGGGTCAGTTCAGGTGAAGTTATGTACATTGACGATGGCTTACGCACTTCCGGAAAAGATTGTAGAGCAGAAAGTTGACTTTTTCCAGCAACTGAGGTCTTTGCACTGGGATGGGGTCCCCGTCGTAAGTCAGTCTGGTCAACAGCTCATCCAGTTTTTCCAGTTGCCTTCTAACTTGAAAGAGACTCTCTGCCAACAGTGTAAAACTACAGCAAGACAAAAGATTAGTTTGCAGTCTTTCATGTCAGTCATCTTGTGGAACATAATGGCTACTGAAGTTCTTGCGTGGGGACAACAGAATCAGTACCGATTGGTGCTTTCTAGCTTTATCCTAACTCAAGCCCATTAATTTTTTTGTTTACAAGAGTATATAAATACATCAGGCAGATTACCTGCTTTATTTTCAAAGACAAACATTTATGCAGCAGGCCTCATCAAAAGCAATGCAACACTGTCTGTGATAATTTGGAAGACGTATATACGTGGTCCTGACGTTTTACATGCAGGGCACTTGGGCCAATTTTAATTCTTTCCTACAGCTCAGAAGTTTTGAAAAATATAATCTTTGAAAGGATAATATTTATACAAAATGAGAAGTTCTTAAGGCTGAGGAAGTGTAAAACAATAAGGAAAATCAAATCCAAACACTTGCTAACAGTTTAATATGGTATGTGTGTATAAAATCATGCTTTTTAAGCTATTTTTAACATCTTCATTGGAAAAAAAAAATCCCAAACTTCAGTCAGGAAAAAAATCCCAAACCAAAAAAAGGCAAAAAATACTTTTTTGCTTGAAACCTAAAGAGGTTTGTGGTTGTCTTCCTTCCTTTTTTCTTCTTATTCACCTTTTTCAGAAGAGCATTTTGATGGGAGAGAAATGACCGGGACATTGACATTCTCTGGCCGCACTATCTTGTTAAATATAATGCTATTTTCTTTCTATTTGCAATCCCCTTTAGAGTTGCCACCACAGAGACTACTGCCATTCAATTCCTGTGTAGTCTGAAGTCTGGAGGAGTGATGTACCCAGTGAGTCAAACCATAAAGTGTCTACCCAGCTCCTGCGTAGACAAAACTCCCACTGTCCTCGGTGACAAACTCAGTCAGCACAGTACTTACTCAAGAAAAACTCCCGAGAGGGTATGTCATGTATCTGGAACAACTGTCATACCAACAAATGAGCAACTGCCACGGCTCAGGCTCAGCAGTTCACTGTAATGTTATTAATTCTGGTGAGAGAATGTTGTCCACCAAAACAAATTGTATGTTAAGTTACCTACTTGCTTAGCTGCTAATGAATCTGCTGGTGTTGCAAGGCACCAGATCTAAAGGAATGATCATTTCATGTGCAGCAGACTTCCTGTGGTTTTCAGTGGAAACACAAGCTCAAGGCAAGTTTACCAGTTCTGGAGCTGATCAAGCCCACCATGGAGAGGACCCCCAATGCAGGCAATCTGCTGCCGTCTCTTCCAGTCTAGCAGCTCTTCAGTCAGCATGTTGCTCATAAGCATATCGATTTCATGAATCACACGCCCTATTTTACTGAGTACTTCCTGTAAAATAGGAAAGGTGTCGCAAATTGACCACAGGGAACAGCCACAAGATTCAGCAATTATCATAAAGTGCTGACTACATTTATTTTTTTCAATTGTTTTGAAAGTACCCCATATTCAGTCCCTACCACTTCAGCCTCCTTAACTCAGAGGTGACTAGATGCATCACCATTTGTACTTGAGATTAATTCCAAATCTCTATGAAATTGTCCTCAGTAAAGCTGCCTTTTTTTTATTGTGAGGGGGGTGGGAGGCGGGATGATTGCAATCCTTGTGGGCATAACACCTCTAAGAAGTTAACACTTGCAAGCACTGTCAAGGTCAAAAGGTTCCCCTTTGTCTTGCATCCTATCCAACGCATTGGGTTTTTTTGCTTTCTTTTAAACGTAAAGAGTACACAAACTCAAACAAACGGCCTAAATGTACTGTTTTCTGCGCCAGCAAAGAAGTGGTCAGGGGAATATGTGTCATATTTGCACGTCTTGGTTGCTGAACACAGCAAGGTATCATTGGTGGATTGTTGGGGGCTTTTTATTTGTTCTACTTTCTTTGAAATTCTTAGATTATGTTTGCTTTGAATACTTTTTATTTAGTTTAAAAGCTACAGATTGCCAGCTAAGTACAAAAGAGGTCTTGTGAAGTGATGCCCTCACTTCTAAGGCGTGCGGAACCATATTCTTGGTTGAGCCGTTACTTAATTGCCGATTTCTTAACTGCTAGCCAAAATTACCCATACCCACCCAAACCTTCTGTGGATTTTTAGCTCCCATGCTATTTGCTGTTTCTGTGAGGAGAATTTTGAAAGGCACACGCAGCATTTCAAAATTCAGTGTGGGAATAAGGGGAGAAAGCAAACGAGCCACAGATGACAAAACATGTCACTAACCTTTCTCTTGTAGTCTAAAGTATTGAGCATTGCCTGCAACGCCAACATTTCCTGTTTAATGAGGGCGCTGTTTTTGTCGCTCTGCTCTGCAGGGGATGAAAAAAAATCAGTATGAGCGTGTGGGTGCATGTGCGGGTTTGTAAGGGGAGGAGTGGAAAAAACCACGACCAGACTGCAGCATGAAGTAGTGAAAAAATAAACTGCAGGCATCGGTAGATTATGCAATAGTGTATTTAATTTGAATGGACTAACTTTAGTACAAGTTTAAGATAAGGTATTATGACTCCGCTCTTTAGATGTGTATGTGGAACAGGAAAGGGTAGAAAACTGATGGGTGCTATCTAGAAATGTATAAATTTCTTACTCATGTGCATACTCATGTGCGTTACGTACATCTGGCTTGGATCAATGACTGACTGTACGTTACTGAAATATGCTCGCGGTGTCAGCTGTTAGACTGAAGCTCTATGGACCTGATGTGAATTACACATCTGGCTGAGAGAAAGGAGGTTAGATGTTTGAAACGGATCATGTTCAGCACCGTGGGGATTTCAGCAGCCAGGAGTGCCGGTCACTGGGTACCCCCCTCTCCGTATCTTTTTTCCTTCTCTGGATCCCTAAGCTTGCCACATGCTCGTTCATATGCAGCTCCTCCCTTGCCCTCCCCTTCCCTTCCCGTTTTGCTCTTCTTGCACCTTTCATGCTACCTTCAAAAAAGAAATTGGTGCCAACTGTGTCTCTGCTAAGCTCTGGATTGCCACCTTCCCACCAGGTTAGGGTACATGTTTCAATAGAGGCGGACAAAAAACGTATTGTCAGCCCAGCCAGAGCAGCCGCTCACAGGGTGGTGTAAGATGCTGTGAGCTGGCTGTGCTGGTGTAGAGCGTTTGTTGACACAGTGAAATTTTAAGCCCCAAAAGTCGTTTATGTAAGCATGTTTTATTTTGCAAGTGAGGCAGGCTTCATCATCTGCATGGTCAATAATTATGATTTGTCTGATGACTGACAACTCATTAAGCCATGGCAACTTGATTTCTTCCAGTTGCCTGCCATATCCAGCCTTAAACATCTAGGATCAACATGTTTAAGAACTTGGATGTTTCAAGCCCAATATCTTTCCAGTGAGATAATATGATGATATCTGAGCAGACACAGGTGGACCTCAGTTTCTTTTCTGAAAAAGATCATGCAAGGACTGTTGCCATGTGCAGATCTCAACAATCACAGGCTGGTCAAACATGCAGTCAGAGTGCTTACCAGCTGGTTATCACCACTGTGGTCAACAAAGAACAGAAAGCCAAGTTAGAGGCTAAAAAATCAGTTTTGCACAACGCTACTCTGGGAAATAAGAGGCTCTTCCACATCCTTCCAAGGAAGGGCTATGGCAAAGGTGAGGAAATAGAAAAATAGGTTCTTTAAATGAAGAAAATTACTTCTTTTCATGCCACTATACAGCTTATCTATAAACAAATAACTTTACTTGCTCAAAGGGATCCTGTCATTATGTTCCAAGACTATATATAAACTCAAAATCCATTTTTATATTTAGATGTATTGTCTGGGTAATGCACAAAACCCCCTGATACTGGGGTCTAGCTGCAGGATCAGACATTTCCTAGAGAATCTAAAAATTATTATAAAAACTCTTACCTAAGCTTTGTATTGTTTTATACCTAAAGTCAAATTCCTCTTGCAGGTCTTCCAAGTACTTGACATCTTGGTCAGTCATCTTTCCCAGGGAAAAGAAAGTAGAATTATTTGGGTGCTCACAGTGATGTAAGAAGGAACTTGTTTTGTAATGGAAAAATGCATAATGTAATATTTTCCTGTCCTCCCATCTGAAAATCCCTAAGCAGTCTGGGGTCTCTGGTTTACTATCTTGTAAGCTTTAAAAGAGATGGCTGGATTATAAATGCATGTTCATAACTACTGATTTATTTCACTTGTTCTGAAAGCCAGCTATTATCCTCTGTCCCACTGTCAAACACTAGTTGCTAGAGCTTAACCACTTCTTGCTTACGGGTTCAGTGACATAGTAGAAAGTAGGAATGATTACATTTAGCCTGAGCTAAATTGAAATTATGATGCCAATAATATAAGTCTCTTCTTGGAACTTTAAAGCAGGGCAAATGGATAATTTTGCACTGAATTTGAGGGAAATTGGAATGGGATTTGCAAAGTCAAGAAAAGTGGAGCCCGCGACAGGAGCAGAGCTTGGAGACTTTACAGAATTACTTAAGAATTTGGTAAAGAAATGAAGCATTTTTGCTGCTTTGGCTTTTTGCAAGGGTTTGTTTTGATATGTACTGCAAGAAGTTTCAGAGGTGTTTTGTAGTAATCAAAAAATGGTAATTCAAAAAAAGACACGTCAAAAGAAGGAAATAATTTGGTTTACTTTGAAGGTCTGTTTCTGTGCTGTTTATAGGAAGCTTTGATTCTGCCAACAACTCGTACACAATCCTTTTTAGTTCCCTGAGATATGCACATTAAGTGTCTTGTGAAAATACAAAAACTCGTTTGCTAAATTACGACAGAATTAGCCATTTCTGTTTTCTCTTTATTTTGGAGACTAAACTTTTAAATGATATGTTTAAGATATGAAATTACATACACAAGGAGCTGGCTGATTTCTGTGTTCAACTTAATTACCTACTAAAAAAAACTTGGATCTAGCAGTCATTCTCATTTTCAGTGGTCTTTCAGGGACGGCTGTGCTTCCCCACAGGCAGAAGGAGCAGGATGGTAGGCTGCTGGGCTGCAGCTTTGCCTGCTTTTGCTCTGCAGCTCTCATCTTACAGTTTACAGATGGATAGAGATCTAGTATCACATTCTTCTAAAGCTAGCTTTATCCTTTTAAGGGTTTCATCTCTCTAACCCTTCATCCCCACATAGGGAGACAGAGATGAGAGAATGCTGCTAGAACCTCTTTCTAGTGTACCAGAAGTGTTGCTCTTGAATGGCGCATGGACAGGTATTTAACTTCAATTTGAGTCTGCTGCAAAGCTGAAAGTGGGGCTGGGGTAGCAAAAAGGCTGTAGGTAATCTGAATCCTTATCCTGCCTTGACCTGACTGGACAGGTATTCTCTGGCTGAGCTTTCAAGGCCTCTGTGGGACACAGCTACAGGTTTGGCTCAGCCCTGCAATGGTATGGGAAACCCCTGGAGAACTGTAACCATTGGCTCCCAGTGTTCTTCACCACACGTAATTATGTCACGTAGCCTTCGGTTGTACAAAGATGACTCAGAGGTCACGAAGGCTAGCTACTGCTGACCCAACAAAAAGAGGTGAAGTTGCAGAAATACATTTACTGAACCTCACATCTTGTTAGAGACACTAGGTATGTTGTTACTGCACTCAGTGGTCCGCCTGCAACTCACACAGGATGAGTGGGGCAGCTCTCACAGTGAACCCAGAGCAGCTGTAAAAACCTGAGGATACAGGTCCTGGGATGAGGTCCTCAGAATCTTGGAAAATTGTTGGCGCAGCTTGTTAGCAAAACTGCTTGTGCTGCCCAGCTTAAATGTAGTTCAGGTATGTCTGTATGAAAATCATGGCTGTGTAAACAGCAAAAAGGACAAAAAAAATACCTGAGCGCTGTTCTTGATGGCTGACACTTTGTGTTCTACGTTCCGTTGTCGTTCTGAAACCACAGAGTTCTGCAGAGACTTTTCCAGTGGCCCCTGGAATACATTGAACGGATAATGGGTGGATGAGTAATAATAACCAGTGACAGTAATTGTACTGCAAGTTGTAGCATAGAGAGGGAATTCAGAAGCTGGTTTCAGCCAGCTGGAGATTTGTATGAACAGACAAATCTGTGAAGTTCCACAGATATGAACAACGTACTGCTTTAACTTTGAAAGCCTAAAGGTGGAAGGGTGTGGGTATACTGCGAACATTAAACATCTAGTAAATTAAAGAAACTGAAACACAGATCATTAGGGTTCTGAAAAAGACCCATGTCATAATACTCATATAAGAACACGTATTACATCCGCCGGTGATGAAACAACATATGTGACTTCAGATTTCTGCCTGAGTTTTAACCATATAACAGTTTTCCCAAAATAGGTTTTATGTGTAATTACAGAGTTTCATTCTTCAACCAACATAAAAACTTGCAACATATCGGATGGAATGTCTTTTGCATTGCATAATTAATAGGAATTAGTGCATTGCATAATTTAAAGTATACACATCTGTTCTGCAAAGAATAATCTCTTTAGACCTTTCCCACAGATTAATCTCTTTGAAGATTAGCTGTGACACAGAAGTCACATTTAGCAACATTTGCAGCAGTAGAGCCACTAATGAAGTACAAAGAGGAGTTTAAAGGGCAACATTTGCAACCCCTAGTGCACACAAATCACTCTAGTGGGATGAGAGGACAGGATTTGGTCCTAACAGCACGTGAGCAGATTAACATGGTTAGATTAATGAAATGCAATTCATTACCTGCACAGGCATGCTAGCTGCAGCCAATATTCTTCTTTCTTCTCTTAAACAGTTTGAGATGATTACCGCTATATGCATGGGATTACCATGGTATTTGCCCTGCAAGCACAGATAAACACAACTTTTAAAAATTCAGAATTGAGGGTGTCCGTCTGGAAATCACAATGTGTTTCAGTGTCTGTGAGCTACGGCTTGGTGCGGGAGGAAAAGACTCCCCTACTCTTCTCCAACATTGGCAGTGCTGGCTCAGCCTTGCAGTGCGGCCATTGTCACAAAATATTCTCAGCAACGTTCTGCAGAGATTATAAAGATACAACTCGGAGATGTACATCATTTGACGATGAAATTGCTCCACTGCTAACACAGCTGTTTTGAAAGGGCTTTTCTGTACGCCTATTCGGTGTGCGATTTTATCACGTCTTCCATTTTCAGTAGGATGTTGCCGTTAGCATGTAGCACTTCTGCCAACAGAAAACTGTAAGCATATCAACACAGTAATGATGCAAGCAGAAAAACCTCAGCATAAAGCGGAAGACTTAAATTTTCATGTCTAGGAACAATTTTTCTCCTTCAACAAAAAACATGCCCAAGATGAAGGAAGAAGCCACTCTTGTCCCAAGCCAAAGAACCAAAAAATGCTTCTGTTTTTACACCACCATAAATAAGGTGCAGAACTGCTGATGCGTGACTGAGGACCGAGCACAATTTGAACAAATATTGGTTTGTGTTGTATTTATCAAATTGGAATGATTGAGGGCTGTCGAGCAGCATCTTTCATGGTGATGTATTTGTTCAAAGTTTCTCAATATCCTTCATGCCTTTTATTCAGTATTCATGTATCATTCATTCACATGCCCTTTATTCAGAGCTCATACAATTTTCAGCCATTCACTGGAATTAATCCAGTTCATTTATTTTCCTGTACTGTTTCGAATTCTGGATTTGTTCTATTTCCCCCTCTTTCTGATTAGTTTTTATTCTCATCCCATTTTTCTGACACTCAGAACTTCATTTATTTTTGCTTTCTCTGAAGGTGGCACAATAAGTCTATACATACTTAAGCTGTATTTTCCTTAATATCTCATACCAATCATTGTATTAGAAACAAGGGTGTGAACACTTCTCACAGAAATGTGAACCTACAGCTTCTATATCCCAACTGTTACTATGGCAGTGAACATACATTTCTAACACTTTTTACTAGGGTTCAGTAACTGAAGTGAATCGTTTCCTGGATGCTTTTGCATGAAAACAAAGTAATCTGAAAGATTTTTTCATCATGTTTTGACTTCAATTACAAGGTAAAGAAATATTGTATTAAAAATGGTAATTTTAATCATGGTTTGAGCTGGTATTAAATACCATGCTGTTGGTTACGCTCTGGTTCCAGGTAGAAACTAAGGTGAAAGACGTAGGACTCTTAAAACTAAATAACTGATGTAGAAAACGTTCCTTTCCAGAGAAGCTTTGACTGCCATGGCAGTCTTGGCAATGAAACAAAGCTTTCTAACGTTTCTGGGGTTTCTGAAGTCTTCTTGGGACAAATAAAGTACATTCCTCACAGTGAAACCAGTGAACACCCAACACAGTCCCAGACACACTGGGTCTCGGATGGAACACTAAGCACTCCCTCGCCGCCTGCTCCTCGCCGGGCAGTGAGGAGGGGGATTTAACATTAAGGGTACGCTGCTGATTTCCATGTCAAACGACAGTGCCCAAGAGCTGCTGTTACTCGCTTCTCCCTTGCTAGGTTCTAAGGCCCTCGGCTGTAAGGGCAGTACCCACGTTCTTCCTGCACACTTCCTTCAGCACCACTGAACTTCAGGTCCAGGAACGTACCCGTAGTCCTCTTTATCGAGCGTATTCCCAAGCTGTCTCTTGGTGGTGTCAGGATGTAACTTTGGGAAGGGAATATAGGAAATGGCTATGGTCTTGCTGCAAAAGATGAAGAGTAGTGGAGCTACCTGAAGAAGTAAGGTGCTGGTAAGGTCCAACAGCAGCGGCCAGAGCAAATTCATGGTCATGCTCTTGGGTGTGCAGTGAGGCTGGTGCCTGCTATTTAACAAAGTCAAGAAGAAATAAAAATCCTCTCTTGGAACTGGAAAACGCATTTATGTAGAAGAGGCACATAAAAAAAAAATCTTCTGACAGTGGGATGTTTTAAAATCCCCCACAAAAAATGCTAGGTAATAGGGACTTTTCCTAGCATTTCTAGACACCATTCATATGCAAAACCTTTTAAAACTCTTTCATTCTCTCTCTTTCTTTGTTTCAATAAGAGAAAACTTCTGAATCAAGAGATGCAGTGGAAATTCACTTTTTTCTTTCTTCTCTAACTCATAAAGCTGTAGTAGTAAGCTGTGTCCGGAGCGATTCCCGTACTTGTGCCTGTCTGGTGCTTGTTCGACTCTAGTCGATTCAGTCTGAGCAGACACCAAGCAGGTCTATGGAGAACTGCCGCCTGTCCTCCCTGAGCAGCAGCCCTCAGACAAAAGCTGGGATAACAGTGGGTCTGCAGCAGGAACGCTTGCGATCAAAGGCTGGGGACAGGCCTTGTCTTTCTGACAGACAGATGCTCCAAACGCTGGACAGCTGGCATTGAGCTGAGCTGTGCCACTGCCTGAGCGGGCATCCCCTCCACTCGGTCTTGAGCTTGCACAACTAGAATGGCTATATTGGTACAATATATGCTTTATTTATAGCTGCTTTTGCAGTAATCTAGCAGATGGATTGCAACAACAATAAATTGATAAATAAGTTGTAACATTAAATATCTCGATAACTGTAACTCATTAAATAACAATACTGAAAGACACAATAACCAATGTGTTTGACTCGTCAGAACAATAACACTGCATTTTTTCTCCCCGTGTTTTGTACTTCTCAGAGGTAACAACCTTTCAGAACATGCCACTCGGTTTTCCCTCATTATCTAGCTACTGCCAACTCTTGCTGTTCTGCACTTCCATTTTGTCTTTGGCTGAGGGCAGATTTTGCTCAAGATGAACTTGCCTTCTGAAGGACAAGCTGAAAATTACTTCCTGTCATTGAAAGAGTAGTGTAAGTTGGAAAATAAAGGAAATTTAACCAAAAAAAGGCTTGAGATGTGGGAATCCTAACTTAGCGTGACATGAGCACTGGCAGCCAGGAAAGGAGGGAGGGCGTGGATTCTTTAGTTTTGCACAATTGTATTAAGTTTAGATATTGCAGAGAAAACATATCATTGTCTTTTGATAAATACCAACAAAGAGAAATTGAGGATTCACTTTTCATCTGAAGTTTCAAATGGAAATGTTAGTCTTGCCTACTGTAATTCTGTTTTTCGTAGTTTTTCCTTCTCCTCTCTTCCCATTTGAGGTCTTTCATATCATGATTTACAACAAAAAACACACGATCGTCTTTGGTCTGGCTGCTTCTCAATAATTACCAGCACAATACTAATTTTAAGCAAACGGGGGAAATTAAACTTTCGTTCTGAACAGGTGAAAATTTTCTCTGAATGCTGATGACATTTCCTTGGGAGAAAACCTTCCTACCACCGCCCAGCATGCACTGTCTCTACTCCAGAGACATCTGTTGTGATAGATCATGAATTAAAACAAAGAGGCATTTCTTCAGAAACAATTTATACATTATAGTGTGTGGAGCTTACACCCTTCAGCCAATTTTAAAAAAGCTTGAACTATCTGGGATCTGTTAAGATGCATGAAAGAGTGGCTGGGGAAGTGCAAGATTTGATTCTCTAAGTTGTAAGACCATGGGGAAACTTTAAAATACATGTTATGACACTTTAAAATAAATGTTCTTAAAAAACAAACAACTGTCAGTCTAGAATGTGAAATTTACTGCTTTTCCTGAGATAAACAAAGAAATCTAGACCAGAAGTTCATTCTCTTACTCTTCTTCCCATTTTTTTAATTTTCCAAAATTTAACCTATTTTCCTGTGGGCAGTTCCATCACAAAGTGGATCACTCCCAAGCACAGTAATATTGACTAGATTGCTTTTCATGTGTCAAGGGCCTCTGTATACTGTGCACTTCTGTAATTCACTGTTATATACACACTACTTGAGCATCCTTACTCTCTTTCCAGTGCTTAACGTGGAGGATTAGGTATTAATGACTGTTGGTCTCTACTTGTAATGTAGAAGGATGTGCTGTGCAACCTTTACTGAGTCAGTCAGGGGGTTCACCCGGTTATCTCTGGGTTTCAAGGCGACCTAAAAAGAACTTGAGTAGGTTTTAGTGCTCTCTAATTCTGAAAAAGCGCTTCAGAATTTGACTGATTTTCCCCTGCTTTTCACTTTTTTTTTTTTAACTGTCAAAAACATCAGTTGTATTTTTTTCTTGGTTCTGCTAGAAAAACCCTGCTTAAGCCTTTTAATCGTATACAGAAAGAGCTTTACTGGAGGCATGGAACAGGTAAGTAGTATGACTGTTGATGTATTTGTTGAAGTTGAATGAATATGTAAAGGAGCTGATGGAAGGGAGGTGGGACACAGACAGATAGAAAACAGAATTACAAAGTCAAGCAAAAATACATTTCCTTCCCTGTTGCTCACTTGTGATATGCTTATTTTACTAAGTCTGATACTCAGCATCTTTCTAGATAAGCCAATATCTCATCTTTCATGTAATTAAAAAACAGGGAGGAAAATACCTTCTGTCTTTTTTTTTTTTTTTTTAAAGAAAAACCAACTTGGGTATAGTTGTGTATCTCAAAGAAACGTGTGGGTGTGAAGGCATAACCATACACACTTATTTCCCGTTTTCACCTTCAAATATGACAAACAACATTTTGCCTTGATTTGTTTTCTGCCCCTGTTTGTGCATCCAGGGAGAAAGTCTAATGAAGACAGTACTAGAATACAAAGAGTCAGGTCTTGTGGTACCCTGATACGGGCACAGTGCTTGGGTATTTTTTGAAAGCCTGTACTTAAACAGATGGTGTTCTTACTAAAAAGTCTTTTTCTAATAGAAGGATGGCTCTGTTTTATCTAGGTCTCTAAGAGGAAGTACCTGTGACACTATCTGTTTAGACTGCTCTTGTTAGACTCATATTTTTAGATTTCCCCTCCCCCTCTCAAAATACAAAAGAGAAC